TTTTTCTTGCTGTAGGCGGAACAAATCCAACACAGAGGACAAGTTAAGGTGAGCATCATGTCTTCTGAATAAAGTGACGAATCTGGGATTTGACTGATGGTGGGCTCATGTCTTGAGTTTATTCTTCACCTGCTGATATGTTGATGGAACATGTTGTTCTGCTGCATGAAGCTCATGTTGGTCGTATTTAGCTGTGAAGTTTGATCATCTTACTCTTTAGTTTAGCAAACTACGGATCATAAAGTTTGATTTAACGAATCCTTTCTTTAAACCTTTGACTCTGGTTCTGTCTTATTCCTCTAACCATCAACCATCACATCCTCTGTAAAGCCAAACATCTGGGTTTGGTTTAACAGGTCACTTTAACCGGCTGCTTTATTGTCTAGTCTTCAGTGGGAACGGCCTGATTGTGGTAAATAAGTTCATAAACACTTAAAAGGTTTCTTTTAAATAATGTTGAAATGCAGTGAACTTTAATACTATTAAAAATATTGTCCTTTTTCCTCCACTGCTTTTATCTGACAGCTAGTTTCTTTACTAATCTTTATTTCTTGTAGCCTCAATAATGAATCTTTAGAGACTTAAAGCCCTTCAGATAGTTTGTCTTAAACAAAAACATAAATTACACATGAATTAATAATTCCCTAATACTTCTAACACATGCTAGTTTTTGTACTCTTGCTTAGATAATGGATCGTGGCCTCAACAGTAAACCAAACATGAACAGTTTGCACAAATCTTTATGAGTTATTGAGATTATATTCAACCAACAAATTAGCTTTTTCCTTTACAATCAAATGTATTCTTAATTACTATTTAATTATTGGCACCATAAACACAGCTTTTAAGTTGATATTGTAGCTGGTTTTTCCACATTATTTAAAAGGTTTTAAGGTGAAAGATTTTAAGTGTGTTAATTACCACAATGAGGAACACAAGCCTTAGTTAAAATAATTAAGTTGGTCCAATTAGATCCTGTAGCTCCTCCCCTCCACCAGACAGCATCCATCAGGGTGCATCAGTCAAGTTGTGCCATAAAGACAGACCCAGAGCTTCACATCATAACTAAAAATATCCCAAACTTCAGTTATTTTAGTAGAATCTAATTATAAAAGAGAAAATACTCACCTTCAAATCTGAATTTATCCAGATGTTATTATTATTATTATTCATGTTTAGGGGAGGGGATTGAGCAATTATTTAGTTATAAAGACATTTTTTATTAAGTTATGTCAACTTGCATTCAATGTTAAACCAACTAAAGCACAATTCTGAGTTTAAAATACTCATAATTTGATATTATACAGTCACCAACATCATTAAGTCACCACAACTCATCAGAATAATGTTTACAACTTAAATAAAATGCATTTTTCTTGCATCCATGCATGTGATTAAGATCCAACAGTGTCTCCATGCATTCATCGTTATAGCTCCTTCAGCTAATCACCCATTAATGTGATCAAACTGTATTTTTTTGTGCAGATGTTTAGCTGAAAAATCTTCTTTATTTTTAGGGAATATTCAGCTCTGGCTTCCACATCATGGATTTGCATGTTACTGTTGTTTATGAGCGTGGAGAGCAGGTTGTAAACTCCCCCAGCAGCGTGGCCTCCTGCTCCCCTGACTCTGCCTTTAAAGGAATGCGTTTAGTCTGATCCGTGTCCCCGGCGCGGCGGCGCTGCTGTGAAGTGGCAGGTTAACAGCCTCTTGTGTGCGCGCCCGGGCCTTCTCTGCTGCGCCCGTCAAGCGTGTAAATACTTGTGTGAAAAACCCCGTGCGTTTCTTTTCTCCGCGGCCCCTTGTCTAACTGCTACTCTAACCTCTGCCTCTGTGTGACGGAGCCCCGGCTGCTGCAGCGGGAGAGCGCGGGGAGGGGATCCGGGCCCGGGCGGGCTGCAGGCGGGGCGGCGGCAGTGGGAGAGGCCGCTAGTAGAAAGCCGCGCCGGGGTGCGGGGGGCAGCGGAAACATGCTGCTACATATGTCGGGTCAAGCATGGCCTTTGTTGTGATCTTAAAAGGGTGTTAAAAACCCACTCGTCTGTAGCCTCGCTCAAAGAAATGAAAGCATCGCAGCGTTTTCTGATGCATAGGCCTAATGAAGTGGTTAAAAGAATGTTGGATTTTCTAAGTGCTCACAGTCACTTTTAATTGCGCGGGGGGCATTTTTAATTGGGCCCGGAGGAATAATAGTGAACCTAATCCTCATCATAAAAGCATATTTTTCTCCGAGAACTTTCCGTTTGGCTCAGCGGAACCAAAACCAGCCAAAATATGGTGCGTAAGTTGAACCAGAGGCGGGCCGACGTTTGGATCTTTAGAATGAATTCGCTCATATTAAACGGCGCAGGAGCTCCTTGTATGGATACATATGGCTCAATAAACGCGTGTCAAGTTCAAGGATTGTCTCCTAAATTGTGGCAGCAGCAGCAGCAGCAGCAGCAGCGCGTAAAGAGGAGCTGATGGAAACTTTCCGCTGATGAGCACTGCAGCCTGTTTTATTTATATATATATAAACAGAGAGAATTTTTAAATCACTCATCCTACGGTGGCCTGTAATCTCTCCTCTGGGCGCTCAGGGCCTCCTCTGCTGTTTGCAACTATCACTTTATAGCTTTGCAGGACGGGCGGTTCTCAGCCCGGCGCCCGTGCAGATAATTACTTTGAATGTCAAAAAGATGTAGTTTTAATATCGTCTCTATTAGCCTGTTGGCTAGGTAATTAAGGTGCAGATGACAGCGGCGGGGGAAACAGATGGCATTTGCTTACAGTGATTCAGAAAGTAAACAATGAGCCTGGGAGGGGAGAGAGGCAGGGCCGCGCGCTCCGTGCTGCCGCCGCGCGCCCACCAGCCATCTCTCTCTCCGCTCCGACGCGTCGCCGTTGATCACTCAGACTGTTGTCATCCTCCAAGGTGCTGACAATTGTTGATTTAAAAACAACAACAACATTTTTCTTAATTTGAATTCCGCTCGCTGCGTGAATTACGCGCTGAGCGAACAGGTGAGGAAGCAGGTGGCTCCGCGCGCGCTGCCCTTTCGTCGCTCCGCGCGTCGACGACTCGTTAAGTCTGTGCAGGAGCGTGATGGAGGGACGACGGGAGGGAAACACAGCAGGCAGAGATGGGAGAGAGGTTATTAAAAAAAGAAAGAAAGATGGAAAATAATTAGAAAATTTTAAAAATGAAAAGTTTCACAGAATAAAACGTGAGGAGGAGAAAAACAGAAACGTTTTGTTCAGTCGCTCATGAACCGAAAATGTTTGAAAATCATCATAAAACAGAAAAATAAAATCACATTAATGTCAAGACAGTTTAACAAACACCTGTGTAGATTATTTATACTAATTATTATTATTATTGTTCAATCTGTTTTAATTCTCTTCCACCCAGTGTGACGGTTAATTACGAGAGCAATCAATTAAAAATAAATAAAAACATTAAAACAAACTAAATTAACACATTTTCAGCTAAAAATATTTAAATTAAATGTTCATTTTAAACCAGTATTGGTTAACTTTTATCACAGTAATAATATAATTTAACAGGAATTTGCATGCACACTTTTAACACATTTCTTTCATCACCAAAAATTTGGATAAATAGATTTTTAAAAAAGAAAAATAATGATTGTTGCTACAATAAGCTGCAAAATGAGCAAAATCGAAGCAATCAATGTTTAGCAGCTGGAAAAGGAGCAAATATTATTATTATTTAAACATCCTCTGTAACAGCAGAACAAACTATAAAGCGATTGATTGTCATTATCATTATTATTATTAATGATTTAACTTTGGGTTATTTTTAAAGCTTCAAACGAAAAAATACGAAACGAGACAGAACAACTGGAGCCTTTCATTTAACCAGAAACAATAAAGAACACAGTCTAATTCATCCACGTCTGTCTGTGGGTGAATAAACACAGAAACGCTGTCGGAGTTTTCTCTTAATTTAACCTCCATGTCGAGGTTTTTCCTTGCAGGCAGCAGCAGCAGCACACAGACCAGCACTCGGCTGCTTCTCTCAGTGAACCGTGAATCATCCGTTCAGTCACATCCACAGACTCTCTCACTTCACTCCATCATCTGCGGCACATACATGATTTTTTTCTTCCCTCACATCCCAAATGTTCTTCAACCAAAAAAAAAAATCAGAGATACTTACCTTAGAGAGGAGATCAGGCAGCAGCTCTAATTTAAACTGTATTTAGCAGCTTAAACATGTGTCTCCAACTGATACAGAACATTTCTTGAGAAACTCACAGAAAAGCTTTTGGATGAAGATGTTCCTTCATGTCAGGTTATTATTTCATAGTTTGAGCTGCTTCAGCACAACAAACACGGCCTGTTGTCTAAATCTATAAAACTCTTTTTCTTTTCTTTTCTTTTCTTTTCTTTTTTTTTTTCTTTTTTTGGAAATACACAGCATCGATTTGAGCTTTCCGGGAACTCCCTTCAGATTCTTAACACTTGATATTTGGAAAAAAAGAACTCAGGTGGACACAGTTGAAAAAAGAGGCAAGCCAATCAGATTGCGCCTTCCCCCTTTGGCCAATGACAGACGCCACATTGTTGTCAAATTTGTCTAATGAAAACGTAGGAGCAACAATAGAGAGAGGAGAGAGGGATCTGTATCCACTGACAATCTCTGGAGGAAGTTAGTGTCTCAGGCTGCGGCGCGTAACGACTCAGCTCCTCCCGGACAGACTGCGCTCCGACTCGGGGAGGAATGATCGCTGCTCTCCGCTGCTGCTGCGCTCGGATTTAAAGTCGTCTGCTTCTAGTCACACTTTCGTTTCTCCTGCAGACCACTTCTTGGACAGTTTCAATCCGATTATTATTTTTTTTTATTAACCAGAAATCGATGCTTTCCCCTGCAGCCCGGACATGTTGAGCCCCACGGAGCAGATGTGATCAGCTCAGCGGTAGTTCAGCTCAAACACATCGTTCGTTAAACGTCGTTTTCTTCTTCAGAGTTTAGTTTGTCAGTGAGGAACGCGGGCATGGATCTGAGACCGGAGCTCCCCACAGCCTCCTCCGCCTCTCAAGGCCACCCCGGAGCGGCGGCCGCGGCCGCAGCAGCAGCAGCAGCCTCCATCCCGGTGTCCATGGCCGGGAACCTGCTGCGCGGCCCTCCGCTCCTCCTGCGCGCCGCGGACAAGTACCCGCGCACTCCCAAGTGTGCGCGCTGCAGGAACCACGGCGTGGTGTCCGCACTGAAGGGCCACAAGCGCTACTGCCGCTGGAAGGACTGTATGTGCGCAAAGTGCACCCTGATCGCGGAGCGGCAGCGGGTGATGGCCGCTCAGGTGGCGCTGCGGCGGCAGCAGGCGCAGGAGGAGAACGAAGCCCGGGAGCTGCAGCTGCTCTACGGCACCGCCGAGGGTCTGGCCCTGGCCGCCGCCAACGGCATCATCCCGCCGCGTCCCAACTACGAGGTGTTCAGCTCCGTCACCAGCGAGAGCAACTCAGGTGAGCCGAGCTGTGATCAGAACCAGGTCCATGAGCAGCCAGGAGTGTTAATGAAATGACCTTAAATTAGACACGTTGTCTTTATTCAGGAGCAGTTCTGTGGGCCGGTTCGTGAAGTCTGTTAAATAAGTGTCTTTATTGATTCAGGCCCAAATCAGGCTTCAGGTCGTTTAGCTTTTATTGGCGTGTTGGGCCTAAAGGATGACGGTACTGAAGGACACAGCTGGAAACAAGCTGACAGTCAGAGAGAGAAAGCTTTAGTGTGTCTGGATGCAGTGAAGGTTCTTAAAGGTTCGGATGTTTGTGTTTAATTGGTACCAAAGTTCTTCAGATGTCTCTGAAAGGCCAGAGTTTATTTCTGCTTCTCATGATCTGATGAGGTTCTGACCTGTGGCCTCCTCTAAGGTTCTGGTTCTGTCATTCATTCACACTGCGCTGCTCTGGTTCCGCAGATTCAAGCATCCAGAAGTATGAGCTGTTTCCAAAGAGCCAGCTGTCCGGTTCGGCCACCCCGCAGCAGTCTGCGGGCAAACCGGCCTCCACCGAGAGCGACTCCGCCCCGGGCATCTCCTCCCCGGACGGCCGCCACGGAGGCTCCGGCTCGGAGAACGGAGACAGCGAGTCGTTCATCAGCTCGCCGGTGTCCAAGCCCTTAAAGGACGGAGAGGAGACTCCCGGCTCCGTCAGCTCCCTGGGCTCGGACTCCGGCTCCGAGACCGACAAAGACGAGCAGGATCCGTCTCCTTCCTCTGCGGCCTCCCGGCACATGAACGCCATCGACATCCTGACCCGCGTGTTTCCGAGCCACAAGCGCAGCGTGCTGGAGCTCGTCCTGCAGGGCTGCGGGAAGGACGTGGTGCAGGCCATCGAGCAGATCCTCAACAACAGCGGCGCGCAGGGCGCCAACAAGGCCGGGCCAGATGAGACGTGGACGGCGGAGAGGATGCTCCAGAACGCGCAGCAGCCTCCGCCGTCCTCCGCCTCCACGACCGCGCCGACGAGGCCCATGCTGCCCGGAGCCATGACGCTGAGCAACCGCTCCGCGTTTTCTCCCCTGCAGCCAAACGCCCCGCACTTCGGCGCAGACCCCAGCACCTACCCCCTGGGCACCCACCTGGGACTGAACCCGCTGCGGCTGGCCTACTCGGCGCACAGCCGGGGACTGGCTTTCATGACGCCCTACTCCACCACCGGCCTGATGCCCACCCTGGGCTTCAGGCCCCCGATGGACTACGCGTTTAGCGACCTGATAAGGGACAGGACGATGTTACACAAGGAGCAGGGCTACGCCGGCGGCCTGTACGGGCCTCTGGTCAACAACACGCCGGACAAGCAGTGAGGCGGCGCGGCTGCGCGCAGAGACACATTCCATTGTATTTGTAGCCACAAGTGTTGAAAATCTGTGACGTGTTTTGGCTACAAGCTGCTGTACATAATAGGATTATCTGGCTTGTAGTCAAATGGTCTGAGAGGGAAAAAAAACTAAACTCACTTATGTGTAATTTTCAAAAATAATTTTATATGTTAGACTCAAAAAAAAAAAAAGGTTTGGATGACATTCCCCATGTATCAATAAAATAACCGAAATTTATTTATAGAATCCAAAATAAACCATCAAGCTGGGAACAGTGAACATGAAACTAAAAGGATTAAAAAAAAACCTACACACATGCTTTTATGACAGATTTCTATGTCAAATCTGTAACGAAGAAATTATTTATCAGAGGAGTTTGACTCTTTAAAGCTCTTCAAATGTTACAGCTGGTTGCTAAAACTCAAATGCATTATCTTCAAACACACACACACACACACACACACACGCGGGATATTAAATACAGCAACATTAAGTTATTGAATAAACCATGTAGCTGATGTTAACCTCACTCCCTGCTGTAAAAGTTCAACTAATGATGTGTAAATGCCATTCTCTCTCTCTCTCTCTCTCTCTCTCTCTCTCTCTCTCTCTCTCTCTCTCTCTCT